TTGACGAATGTTAATAAATAAAGTATCGAGAATATCTTTTTTAGTCGCATTAATAGGGGCCAACTCTATCAAAATTCTAGTAATGAAATTACTGAAAAATATTTTGTGATTTATTATATTTCTGGTTAATGCCCGCCTTAATCGTTCACTTTTGCAAAGTTTTAAACTCTTGACATTCGAATATCTTAAAAACTTAATAAGATTCATACAAATATCAAATTTCCTTCAAGTTATTTCGTAATTTAATTTATAATCTGACACAATTCTAAATTGTGTAGAAATAATTTCATCACTGATAAAGGCAATTTTCTTGCAACAAAGAGGAAATCATTTTAAAAGGAAGTTAAATTATCACCAGTGCACATATACCTAGAGAAGAAAAGAATTTTCTAATTTTTTTCTTCCCGGAAATCAGAATTTAGATAAGATTTGGCTACTAATTGGTTATCGAGCAGTTTCACTTTTTTGGCCTGCGATAAATTTTGAAAACTTTCAGAAGAAAAACTTTCCCTAAAACGTCAATTTCCGTACTTCTTAATGCTCATCGAAGCACAGACAAATGCAGAGATGGAAAAAAAATTTTCAATTGTATTTTTCTAAAAAACTTTACACTAATTATTGAAAGGATACAGAGGAGGAAGATACATAATAGAAATGTAGCAAGAAAAAATAAACAATTTTATTTTACTAACAATGCTGATGACAAGGTGAAACCAGTGTTTAGTTTGATAAGTCTACAAAAAATTAAAAAGGATATGACTTATTAACTACTCCTTAACAGATTGGTAATTGACAGCTATTAATTAATTTCAAAATTAAAGTAGTAATCCTTGAATGAGTGACATTTTCAATATATAACCTTAAAGGTTCCCTAAGGATAGCACACGAAGACTATGTGTATTAAATATCTATAACCTACACAAGCGCGCCACATGTTGAATATATAATAAAATTAATGGGAATTGCCTTTATTTTAGTCCTCAATTATGAAACAAAATATATTAAAAGTACATTTAATAACAGCTTAAATGGATTCTAAACAAAGGTTCTATGCCTTTGCTTATATTAAAATATTATGCTAATCACTCGACGAATGCTTGAGGTGATGGCGCTATTTACATAAATTTAATAAAGTTTTTGTTATAAAATTAATGCGATGAAGTTTAATAATATTTATTAGGTTTGTTATATTAAAATGAGTACGAAAAATAAATAAAATATATAAACTTTTGTACACTTGTTGCCATTAAAATTATTAAATAAAATTTGATTGCTTTTAAGTTGAAAAATGAAGAAAATATAATTTGATGTAAATTAAGTTAAACTTTATATAAAGAAAATATATTAAAAATTAAATGAATAAACTTTACTAAAAGTATCTAAAAGGCAGCAAATTTAACTAATGTTCTCAGTTAAGAGTATGGATTCTTTATTGCTCAATATTAATCGTGAATATATTTACTCCTCAAAGTAACTTTCAAACAGCTTTCTTACTTAGTTATTGCTTCTAACATCATCAGCATGACTATTATTTAGCTCTACAGCTCACATTGAGGCTTAGCCTCACTTAATAGTATTTTTCTTCGTTTCAGCTTTAACTGCACTTCATATCCCCGAAGTTCAAGATACTATACTTGAATATTTTAAGGAATATTATATACCTAAACGTATTTAGAGAATGAGTATCTTGCTCAAAGTCAACTGTCGACTGTAGCGACATTTTCCTTTCGTACAACCGCTACAACTTCGATGAACCCCTTCCTTTGTTAGCCGAGATCTAAAAATCTTCAATTGTTGACTATTATATCTCACACTAGATCCATCATAAGACTAAAGTGGCTATACTGATGCTGTTTTCTTCGTTGATCATAACCTGAAAATCCACAAGGGTTGATTATTAAGTCTCTCTCTACTGTATTACTCACTTTGATTAGTAAGCGCAGTTAAGTGCAATGCAGCAAACTTTAATTAGTTACTAAACTATTACCGTCGGATTCTACTTGTACGTATATCCCCTAGCCATATGTTTTATATATAGTTTTAACTGACCTAATGATTTTACTATTTCCTTATATGGTGTTTTGGAGCAATGATAGATTTTAATAAAACAGTATCTTCAGTGTAGCTTACCATATCTTTCAATAAATAACTTAAGATGTTAAGCTGGCCCTATCGAGGATCCAACTATAGTAAGCCAAGACCAATCGATTCGGTCTTGTTTTGTTACTACTATATATTTCTCAAGATTTTTCACTTACCGATTAAAGCACCCCAAAGTATTTAAAACTTTCGTACTTAAAGTAAAACGAAAATGCTCTTGAGAATCTTATGAGATCCTATTTAACTTATAGTTATCAGAATCTAGTCAACACAAGAAACAACTTTGAATTATTTAAAATTTGAACTTATGCCGAGCCAATTGAAGTGAAGGCCGGGTGAACAATTGTTCATACATTAATTTTTTTAGGATAGTTATTGTTAGTGAAAGGATTTCAGTTTCTATATTTATATAGTGCATCTTTTTGTATGGATAAAACTGAAGCTGAAGCAACTATAGTTTTTCCAAATTTCATCAATATTTTGGTTGCTTAACTATGATCCTCCTGCCATACCAGTGTTTCCACGGTAATGCCATTGAACTTATTATTTATAAATACATGTAATTAAGCTGGACGTAGGTTAAAAAATGACCTGTTTGATATAAAATTGGTATAATCGCCATTTCGTGTCAAAACTGACGCTGTTGGCAGTGCTCACCATGTATTTAGCACAAGTGATTTATGATTTTACTGCGAACAGTAATTATATGTACCAAACGTAAATATTAATTTCTACTCATAAATTTGGCGCTATTTTCTGCCAAAACTGCCCAAAATATGTACCAAAAAAAGAAAAAAACAACAACAAAAATCCAAATGAAATATTTACTACTTGTGACTCTGTTGCTTTTTGTATTCATAGCGCAATAAAATAAAATCGCTCACACATAATATTATTTCATATATATCGTATATATTTATGTATTGTTTAATAAGAAATTCGAATAATAATACTAAAGTATAATAAAAAGCAAAAAAAAATGTAACAAAAATAAAAATAAAAATAAATAACAAAAGGAACCTTCAAATTGTGCATGTTTCACACACTTGTTAACATAAGAAAACTTTACGCATAATTGTTACCTTCATGCAATGCTTTTCACAAAATCAGACACACACATATACACACACAAACACATACACAAAAATTAAACACAGTTATTCGCACTTTACACAAACTTAAACGTAAGCTTACGTACAGGACTTGTACGCGTAAATCATGTTAACACATAAATTTGTTGCCTACATTTCGGCGCAGAATTTGTTGTTGCTTCACATCACTCTGGCATTTATTATAATTTCAGTTGAAAGTAGAATGCGTCATTTTATAAAAAAAAATATTTGTCTGCACATATATTTCTATATAAATGTTTGCAAAATTTAATATACACATTTATATATATAAATAATAATAATATTTACACATATATAAATTAATATAAGGTACGCATTAAAAATAAGTGCAATAAAAACGTGTATAATATTTTTTTCAAGGCATTATAAAATCCTTTTCAACTGTGAAATGCTTTGAATTCTTCATCTCAAGCTTCATTTAAATGTTTTCTATATAAAATAATTTTTTTTTTTTTGTGTATTTTTATTATAATTTTTCTCTTTGCTGTACCAAATACTTTGCAACACATTTTTGTTTGTGTTTACATAAATAAGGAAACATTTGTTCGCCGCCAACATATGGTCCTTTGTTGCACGATCCTTTTTTCCAACTTTTTGTTGTTTAGCTATATTTTTACTTCATTATTTCATTTCTTTTTTATTTTGAAAAGTATTTCATGGTTATTTGTGCTTTGCAACGAAAACAAAGTTTATTTTTGTGTTTTGTTTAAACTTTGTTTGAAACGCCGTGTACTTCATTTACACGCTAATATGCATTTTAAACAAAATTAGCACATGTGCTCTTGATGCAAAGGATTTGAAAAGTTTTAATACTTTAAATATAGTTATGTGTTCATTAATTATTAAGTTTTCAAATTAATTTGTCAGTGAATATGGTACAATAACAGTTTCTGAACTATGTATTTAGGAAAAAATTGTTTTGTAGTAACATAGAACTAATACTAATGTATAATAAAAAAAAAAATTGCGAAGGGAATTCAAAAAACTAATTGATATATGAAGATTTAGAAAAACAAAGAAGTGCGAACTTAACAAAAAAAGTGAAAAAGCACGAAATAATTACGAAATAAACCCTTTCACTTCACTTAAGCAAGCTGTTAAAACAATTAAAGCAATTAAAACTTAATTTATCTCATTAATTGCGAAAATCAACTTAAATTATTATTTTAAAAAAAGCAATAGTCAAAGAATATTTCTAGTTCTATGTTGATAGAAGGTCAAAAAAGTGAAAAGTAAAATATTAAAAAGTGCAACCTAACTTCACTAATAATACAAAATAGAATTCAAAAGCAATGTCTACAGAAAATACTTAAATAATTCGTCCGGAATACTTCGTCCACATCCTCTAAGTAGACCCCCTCAGAGCCTTGCTATTTTGGCACTATAAAGTACAAGCCCCTTCAAATCCAAGCCCTCTGTTTTGAGTAGGAGCTTACCCATCCGCCGTACATTCCACTCTACAACCAAGGTCGCCAACCCCACTTTCTACATCTTTAAGTATTCTGCCCCTAAATAATTTCGACCATGCATTTCTGACCTTGTGCAATTTAGCTTGCTAAATACTAAGCTGAAATGGGTTTTTAATCGCTGCACTTCCGAGTTCTGCAGTTGTAATATTTCATACATCCATTCCTTAAACGTGGTTTTTTCTTTCATTCTAATTTATATTTAAATTTTTTAGTAAAATAACTCTTTAAATTAAATCTCTTCGAATTTTTATATATATCTATCTTTTTATGCAATGTTATAATCATAAGAACATATTTTCATTTTGAATGCTCTTTATTTACTACTAGTATTGAATCATATATCTACAACACAAAACAAATTATACATCATATATTCTATGGATTATAATAACAACTGTTTTAAAGTTAAGTAAAAGAAAGTATAGAATTCATTTTTCGTTCTTGTCAAGTTCATTAGCCAAGTTTCAGGAATAATTGCTGTTACTTTAAGGCAGAAAATAGTGCTGAAAATAATTAATAAATAATTAGAAATTAGTAAAAAATAAAAGAGTCATATTTCTTATAAATCTCACCACAGGATCGGCTTTCTTCCAGCATTGATGGAACCACCAGGCTTTGTGACAGAGTGTATCACCCTCAGGATGTATGCAATCCTTTGACATGTTCATTAGTAATTCACGTAATTTTCCTGGTATTGTTTCAAAAAGTTTCTCCAAATGCACGTCGCCATTGTCATCAACCACATCAATTTCATGGAATAAGCAATTCATATAACATTTCAGATTCTCATCCTCATGTATCTCACCATCACTAAACTCTTTTATGGCCTCTAAATGAAAATGTGTTAATATATGTTTGCTGAGTTAAGTTTGTTATTTGAATGTAAAAATTTATTAATTAATTTAATTAAAATAAAAAATTCCTGTAATTTAGAAACAAACACTTTTCTATGTTGAGTAAAAATGTTGCGTTCTTCGCATATTGAACCCATTTCGCAATGAATTTGTTTGTATCACAGTCTATCCAGGCTAATTAAGAATGCTAGTGTTGAGATTTGAGATTAAACTCACCTTCAGTGACTCCAGTTTTTTGCACGCAAGTGTCATGAAATGGTTTTGCCATTTTTAGAATTGCTGGCGGTGGATACTTTAAACGATAAAATAAATTAAAATATTTTCATTAAAATTGAGAGAGGATAAAACAACTGAAACCGGAATGTAGCTAAACAATGACAATGCTTACTTCATCGTCACGCCTGGGCTGCTGCGCACGGACCGAAGTCAACGACAGGACGATTAAGATTGCGTACGCCACTTGAGTGCGGTAAATGCCATTCAACATCATTTTTATTCCTTTCGCTTAGCTCCGCTTTTTATGCGCGTCCTTTCAGCTGTTTCCGTTGCTCTGTTTGAACTTCTCAGAATGTTGCACTGCAATTTACAGTTTGCGGTTTGCTTTGTTTGGATTTTTAAGTTACTGCAAGGACTTGTAGCTGCAAATGCAAGCAAAACAAAAATATCCTTCAAATCAACTGTGAACAAATGTTTTCAAACCAAAATACAGTTCACGAACACAATAACACAATTGTAAAAATGTACACAAATGTGACAGAAGGACAAGAGTGAAACCAACGTAACAATAACAGAAAAAAAAAAGAAAACAATTTTCCTTTTAATTTTCAAAAAAAAAAAAAAAAACAATGAAAAACTTTACCGCAAATCACGAAACCTTTTGCGTTTGCTGAGATTTTTTTTGTTTAACATTTTCCGAAAAAAAATCGAAATAATTTTTTTTTTGGATTCCTTTTGTGCAAATTATTTTCTGCGGTTTTTACTGTAACGGAAACGGAAATGTCGCCAAACAACGTGCTTTTGTGTTAATTCATTTTCGTTGTTTGGTCCATTTTATACGTAGATGTCACTATTTTCCAGTGTATTTCAAATACGAATTCCAAAACTTGTGACCAAATGTCACTTCTATTTTTGTTGTTATTTTTGATTTCGATTTTGATTTCGATTTTGAATATGTCAACGTATGCACGTGAACAATCCAACAGCACAAAGGATCCAACCAGCCAATACTGAATGCACTCATAAAATATTCTATACTACGGAGCAAACAAGGATATTTATTTTTTATTTTTCATTGTCTTATTGTTCCTTTTTTTTATTAAATATAATAAAATTGCTCCTATTGCTGTTACCTTTCAGATGAATTTGTGCGATTTTTAAAACGTTCAAATGTATTTTATCGCCGCTTTTACAAATGGAAGTGATTCGCTTTTATTGAGGATTTTGCATTTTTATATGCAATTTTTATTCAACGTTTGTGCAAATTAGTCTTAGCGTTTATTTTTTGTGGATCCGGTTGATTGCCTTTGTAATTGTCGCTGTCAGCTTACCCCGCGATTTAGTCAATCCCTCAATTTCTTTTGCAACAATTGATTGCATGTTAAGAGGATTTAGAGGTTTTTGAAATTAACACCAAATGAATTGTCATGTTTAGATTTAGAAAATAATACTACAATATACTTTTTAAGTAATAATTTTTAATACTCGTATATGCTTAAAAATTAAGAGTTCACAAGTTGAATCGTATGACCTCTACAATAGTGTTAAACAACGACAAGCAAATCGTATTGTTATTCTAATGTAAAGAATATCAAATAACATAATAGATAGATAATAGAATAATCAAGAATATCATATATGCACTTCACAGATCAGTGTAACCTACAGTTTGACTTGCATTAGTTAAGTATCTCCGATACTAATGTCTACTAATGTTAATGGACAGAGTTTATGAAATGGACAACTAAGGTCTAGAGCATATTCTTAGTGAATGTTCAATTAATAGCAGACAAAAGCCTCGCCACTTAGGTGGTATTGGTATTTATATATGGTATTTATATAAATTGGAGAGCCAAAATCTGAAAACTGTGCTAAACTTTAAGAAAAGCCAAATTGTACAAAGACAAGTTTTAAAGCTTTTATCAATTGTTTAACTCTGTTATACAGTACCTTTTGACCTTAGTAATAATCTTACATTATCGGGTCTTGATGAGTATTTGAGACTTTTTAATATGAGATTAGAAATGATTTTATAACCTAGCTTCAAAATAATATACAAACTGATACTAAAATACAAATTAAAGCTGTCAACTGAAAATAATGAAAGTGATATGAAACTAATTTCTTTAAATACTACTCATATATACATGATTTAAAACTAAAGAAAGCATAAAAGAATGTAGAGAGAAAAGTGGCTATAGCTAAGCCAACTAGCTGACTCTTATCTCTTATCACTCTTATTTTTTTTATCGGACAATGAAGTGTATGAAAAAATTAGCGTTTTAATCTGTACTTTAGGCACTTCCTTTAATGTATCCCTGAGAGTACCAGTTTATTTTTCCTTAGAAATCGTTGAAAGAAGTATTTAACTCCACTTTTTTCAGTTTGCCAATAATAAATGGGAAACATTTGGCGGAATTTATTACAATAAGGCGTTTATTGGCGCATTATCGTGATAAGCATGCAACTCTTATAGTTACTTTAAAGGAACTTCATTTCAAATAAATGTAGAACTAACAAGAAAAGATATACCTTCTACTCAAAAAGTATTCGGATTTTGTAAATAAAACACACAAATTCAAATTTTATTCCAAATTTATTTTATCTCCTTCAAAATATGCTCCTTCTGAGGCGATACCAACGCTTAACCCAATCTTCCATACACTATTCGTAGGCCCGTGAAGGCTTTTAGTTCCTTCAACGAATTCTCTTTTACCGATTCAATCAACTCAAAATGCTAATCACGAAGTGGCAATTTGAGTTTCAGGAACAGAAAAAAATCTCACGGCGCTTGATCTGGCGAATATGGTGCCTGATCGATGACAGTGGTGCCGTGTTTGGTTAAAAAATCGCGTAGAACATTTTCCATAGTAAAAATCGCTATAGACTTTCCATAGACTACCTCAATCGCACTTGAGGTAGTCTCACATTAACAGCTGCTGTAAACAAACTAATTGACAGAAGGCGCTCAAATTTGTACCATTTGTCAAGAAAGGGTGTACCAACATAACAAAAAATTTTTGAAAAAGGTCCATTACTTAAGGAGTAGTTAACAAACATCAAAATCCGGTTACTTTTTGAGCAGAAGGTATCGTACTGAGCATGAAATAGTTTCACTCCATCCACTCCCAACACCTATAAATCAAAGTATCAGTAATAATATATAGGGGGTTTAAAAATAAGGAAGTTTTTATTAAAATATAGATTGTTCATAATACATACTCTACGACATACTACTAAAAATTATGAATTTCTACACGTGGTTTTTATTATCATTACTTTTCATTAGGGTTAATGTTTTAAAAGTGCATATATGACTTAAATCAAACTTAAAACTGACACCTAAATATGTACTACAATTTTTAATTACTAACTATGCGAAGAATGATATAATAATTGTTTTATTTACACAAAGTCATTATTAACTTGACTTCACGACTAATTTATAATTAATTCTCTACTCATTGAATGAAGCGCAGTAAGTAATACTTAATAAAGCAATTATAACAAACAATGACGGCTCGAAAAGATTGGAAATAAATTTTAGTGGGTGGTCAAAGCTGGGCGTAACACATGCGAACTTTAAAGTCTGAGAAAGGCCACCATTGAACAATCCTAAGCTTAACATAGTGATGCAGTAGCAAATCAGATAATTGCTCACATATCACAAATTAGTTTGTGTTGTTATGTCAAAGTAACTAGACGCTTTTAAAACATAAAGATACTCTAAAATATATAAAAAATCTTAAAATAAGAAAAAATCAAATAAGTTAAAAAAATAAGTTATAGAGCTTGCATGTGCCAAAATTCGTTGGGTACACTTACTCACTACTTTGATTTATGTGCAAATATTTTGAAGTGCAAATTTTACCTACGAAGCAGCAAATGTGTTAATTAAATGCAATTTACTGGTGTAAATAAAGCACAAATTCACACTTTAGTCTTTCGACAGCACTTACTGCCGCATAAATATGTTTAACAGCATTATTTCAAAATATTTTATACACAGATACATACTCGTATACACTGTAGATACGTATTCCCACTATTCGTATATCATATGCGGGTGTAGATAGGCGTTGGTCTGGTATGGATGTTGGCTGTAAGCTGGCAAAAATTTCATTCCATTATTTGCTTACTTATAATGTTGAGTGCATATGAATTTGTAATTATTTGCTTTTGTTGGTTTTGATATTTGTTGATGCATGAAATTAAATACTAATTTCACATTACGCACATCTAGGGGCCACCCCTACCGCCTCTATTCAAAACAAAATATTGTTACGTTTTTTCGAACCACAAATCGCAGTATTACAAATGCTACCGGTCAGTACATTTATGGATTAAATATGGGCTTCCATGGATGCAGTGTTGTGTGAAAGCAATTCGATTTACCTTCTGCAAACATTTTTAGATATTTTTAAATGAAATTAACTTTTATTTGCCACTAATGTGTAGTTTGAGTTGATTTTTGTACTTTTGATTGTTAATTGATTTTATTGCAAATTGCAGTTTATGCATTTATAATTGAATTGCAAATGTTTGGGATATTCAGTAAATAATTGAGTGACCGAAATATTAATTTATTTAGTTTTATGAATTTACAGTTTGTATTTAATAGTGCAATTTTATGAAAACAATGTAGAAGTTAGCTTCTTTTAATATTTGCTAGCAAATTTACAAATACAATTTGTGTATATTGCTAAAATTCATAACCACGAGAAATTGAAGTTAAAATCTAAATGCTTTCCATAATAACATAATTCAAATAATTAAAAGTTTCTACTAGCAAAAAGTCAAAGAAAGTTGGAACTTGAATAAGAATCCTAATCAAAGCGAATTGACATAACGATTGTAGACCTATTAGCTTATTTTATATTTGCTATCAAAAGTCATACTACCCACAATACGGAAGACAAATTACTCATAAAATAAATAACTTTTAAAATATCTCTGTTAAACATGAACAATGTTTTATCATCTGATATCTCTGCTAAACATGAATATCTCTGTTAAATATGAATAATATTTTGCAATCTGATATTTTTAAACAGCTATAAAAGTGGATCATATACCACCTGAATCAATTTCCATAAGCAGCTGCTAGTTCTGCTATAACTACATATGCTAACTGCTCGCTACATGTTTTTGATAACATTCTGCTAGTCGCTGTGCAATAACATTCTGTTAAAATCGTTGTGGAAACATTACTCTTATATGTACATATTTTAACCGTTCAACTGCTGGTAATATCATTTTCATGTTTATTGATGTTCTTTACACATGGCCTTATAAATTTCTACTATAAGCGCTTTAAGGACTAAGATATTGTTTCCAAAACTATTCGTTTTACATTGATCTTGTATAGTAGTATTTTTCGGCAGATCACCGAAACAGAAGGTATAAGCAAATTAGCTAACAGATGGCTCTAAAATTTGACAATAAAGCTTCATCAATTAATTAAATGAAATATTTACGAATTTTATTTTAAAATCGGCTACTAAAATTTATTTTCTTAAATCATAATTTAATCAATATATAATAAATAATAAACATCAATAAACTTAAAAATAAAAAATTTGTCGCTAATTAAATTAAATGAATTTTTTCAAAATATTTTTACAAATTTTAAACTATCATTTCATTTTAAATTCCAGTTATTTTTTAGTACAAATTTTTAAAACAGAATCTGCCATTTTACTTTGTGGACTGTAGCCACATTGTGAATTAAGTTAGTCTACACCTAGATCTGTGATTGAAAAATGGTTTTCAACTTAAAAAAGTCTCTATTGGCCCTACATTTCAGGTAACCGTCAAGGTAGAGAGCTGGTTTGTCCTTACAATTATGGTAAGGTATCTTTAATGGATCATCATGGACTCCCGTATCACCTTAACGATGTGGGTCTGCCTAAAGAGATAGATCGTCAACTCTGCTTAGAAGCAGACAAGTCTTCCAGACTGTCACTGGACAATCTCTGTGACTGTCCACTCTTGATCTACGTCAGAAAGAAATCACTGGGTCGAGAATTACTTTCCTCTTTTGACAGTAGGAGGTGACCAACGGCTTTCTTTCGAAGGGCGAATTATCTTCTGTTCAGCTATGGTCGCAGTGCAGTTTCTTATCTTATCTTATCTAGTACAAATATGTTGATTTTATTATATTCTTCTAAATCTATCTGACTATATTAAAAATTAATA